AAGACTAAATAACCCTATTGCTGACTTATATATATAATCTATTTTACAGGTATGATTTCATTGCTAGATGTGGCTTCAAAGTGATTGATTCACCTGATATTAATATAATAATGTTTTTTTAATTAAATTATATACCAGTATTATATTTACATATTATACTGTATGATAGCATATATTTCAACAATTATTTTAGTTAATTTTTTACATTTTTTATCTCTTACAGATATGAAGAGAAGAGTTGACTGAAAGATACAAGAAACTAATGAACAACATTCAACCACAATGAAAAATATATTATATAATGTATCGCCATCTAGTGTGAACTGTGAACCCATCTCCAAGAAGCCGAGATGCTTTTTAGATTTATTTGAATGTAATCAAAGTATCAGAAACGTGTCAGTAATATTAACTTATGAAGACAGTATCTTTAACAGTACAGTAATTCAAATACGTAATTGATTGACTCAGGCCAGGTGTGATTGCAAATAAGTTGAATTTGCCAAAGTCGAGTCCAAAGTGACATTGGAAAAATTGTTCGATTTGGATAAAATTTTACTTGCAGATTGTTAAATAATGGAAAACACAACAATTTGGCATGTACAATAAGATCAACTTAAAAATTACTGTATTCAACTTAGGCAAGTTTAACATGTGTGTATATATATATATATATATAAAATATATATAAAAAATCTAAACCATCTTGTGAAATGCTATAATGTATAAACAAATAAATAATAGGTGCTCTGATAAGAACATATAATATAATAACATAATATAACATATTATATAATCGTATTAATGGAACAAAGCATCTACATTAATTCTTCACACATGCACAGAACTAGTCCTTAATGCATGGACTAAGATTAGCGCGATACACCCTCTTATAAACATTGATGACAATTGACAAGATTTCTGAAGAGATACTTTCATCATAAATACTGTAAACCGTAATGAAGACCTCTATAACCTTATTGTGGTAATGCTAAAATATATGTATATAATAAATACATTTTAAACGTTATAGTCGAGGAATTTGAGAGTGAAAAAGATGTGCCCCAACTGGGATTCAGTACAAGAGGCCATTTTTTTTGCCCTAACTATATACAGTTGAACTTGCCCAAGTCAAATCCAAAATGCCATTGAAAACTTGTTCGACTCACAGATTGTTAATTAATGGAAAACACAACAATTTGGCATGTAAAATAAGTTCGACTTCAAATTTTGAGTTGGGCAAAGTCGAAAGTATAGAGGGTGCTTTTCGAAAGACTAAGGACACCCTGTATACCGTATATAATTTTTTTTTTACAGGTACGATTTCACTGCTAGATGTGGATTCAAGCTGAATGCAAGATTCACCTGATAATGATTAATACAGTAATACCATAATATTTTTTTTTTCAATAAAAATATATACCAGTAAAATTTACATATACTGTATGATATAGCATTTATTTCAACAATTATTTTAGTTAATTTTTTACATTTTTTATCTTGCAGATATGAAGAGAAGATTTGACTGAAAGATACAGGAAACTAATGTTTTAATGTTATTCAACCACAATGAAAAATATATTTTATATTATAATAATCATAAAAAAATGAAGTCAACGCTCTGTAACGCCATCTACTGTGAACCCATCTGCAAGAAGCCGAGATGCTATTAAGATTTATTTTAAATGTAATCAAAGTATTAGAAATGTATCAGTAATGTCAACATATGAAGACAATATCTTTAATACAGTACAGTAATTCAAATACGTAATTGATTGATGAATTAGACAGGCCTATGGTATATGTATTAATAAATTTATGCTGTATGCCGGCAAAGAATGGTACAGAGACAAGAAGACTGCAGGTAAGTGGGTTGGTTATTTACTCAAAGATCTTATAACAAAATAGCACTCACCTATTTGTAAGCGTAATGCATGAAAGACTCGTAAAACTGCCCCTTCTGCAAAAAATCATACAAAGCAAAACTTATTTACTGTACTGAATTGTATATATGGCGCTCCCTCCAAAAACCTATCTGTACTCGGGGGGGGGGGGCAAAATTTTCAAGGAACTGGGAAAGAAATTGAAAAGCCAAATTTGTTTTACTAAATTTTATATAGCCCTCCCTTCAAAAAATGCAAAGCCAAATTAGCTTACTGAGTTTTATATAGAGCTCATTACAAAAACCTTATTTGTACACATGCACTAAAATCTTTCATTGACAATCTGAGAAAAAGTGACTGAAACTTTCATAAAACTGCTCCCTGTACAAAGAAATGTGTACGAAGCCAATTTTGTTTACTAAATTAAGATATGGTTCCTCCAATAATTTGTTAGTTGGATAATTCATGGGAAATTTCATGAGACTGCCAAAAAATTGTTTATTTTATATAGTGCTCCATCCAAAAGTTATTTGTACGCATAATGAAATCCGAACTGCATGTTGCATATTGCGAGTTTGTTACAAGATCTTTGAGCTACATTGCATTAGGTGCCCCTAAATTAAATGAGGGCGCTGTTGACGGTAAAGAGCGCCCTCTATGGATAAAGAGGGCACTTTAACGTGAGCAGTGCCTCATTTCATTTGGGGGCGCTATTTAATGCAGGAACCCTCTGAATAAAATGAGGGATTTTATTTAGGGGGCGGTATATTATAAAAATTGTAATGATGCAAGGAACAAATAAAGGCAAGAGAATTTGAATCAATTTTGTGTTGTATTTATTCGATTGTAGCAAACTCCTTACAAAAAAAAAAAAATGCACTTCTCTGCAGCCCCCAACAACGGGTTCACCTGACTCGACTACACAGCAAGTACTACCTCAAGTCATGCTCACTACCACTGCCAAGCAGCAAGAGTGCCCGAAGAAACCTGCAAAGTTCTCAATACAAGCTACAAGTCCAATGTAAATTACAAGATGAGTAAAATATCTGTGAGAACCCTATACCCAAGATGGACGACAACCCACGCAAGATCGCCAACCCTCTTCCCACTCTTTGCCAAGGATAGGGATTATATTTATAATAATTAAATGATTAGTATTAAAGAACTTCCAAATATGAATGACTTTCAAATTAGATTAAATTTAGCATTTAGCTAAAGTTACTAAATAATTATTTAAATGAATTAACATTTTATTAAATTAACATTATTGATATAGATTGGCTGCTTAAAAATTAATTTGTTAGAATTATCTTAATGCAATTTTAAAATTAAATTAAATAAAAAATTTAAGTTAGATTTTTTTTAAAAGCTTTAAATAAATTGGTTTTGCATATATTTTAAATATTTTAACACAAGCATTAAATAATATTAATTAAAAAATTTAAGTTATATTTTTATTAAAAGCTTTAAATAATTTGGAAACAAATTTAGAGTATATTTATGATCTTTATTTATATATCAGAAAGTATGGGACTTAAACTGGCATCAGGATATAAATTTACAAGTGCTTTTGGTTGCCTAGATTACACTCAGGAAACAACATTAACTGTGCAGTACAGAACTAAATTTGGTTGCAAACAATTTGATATGGTTGGCACCTCTGGTAATACTAAACCTAAGCATCGTGTTCTGAACAGCAGCTCTTCAGCCATACCCTGCCTGAATCGATCGCTCTTCATATCACTGCTGGCACCAAATATTGCTAATTATAGGAGAAGTCATATTTATCTATTAATTATTTAGTAAATAAATTAGTGTCAAGTATAATTCTATCTTAAAATATCCTATTAAAATATATTAATTCTATTACAATCATCCTGTTTTCAAATTATAATGTTTAAAATCTAGTTAAAAAATTTTAAAAAAATTATTAATTGCTTTTCTTTAATGTTTGTATTTATCATTATTTTATCTTCAAATCTTAGGAAAAACTTTTAAAATGACTTAGATGGGGTAAGGTTTTTGTTTATTAAGGTCTATATTTATATTGATTAAATGCTGTGTATATATGATGTACTTTACCAAAGCAGAATTTTTGAAAGGATATAAATATTTGAATTTTTAATTACAGTATTTATTTGAATAAACGCCCCACTTTGAATAAACGCCCCCTCCAGAGCCTCATTTGGAATCATAAGTACCTCCCTCAAATTTTTCTAACTGGGTTAGAATTGATAAATCGTTATCATCATGCAATAACACGTTTTGACTGTATCCATATGTTGTTGTTCCACATTTACTGGGAAATTAAGAGGCATTTATTCGAATAAACTGTATATAACTTTTAAAGAAAGTATTTTTATTATGTTATTAGATTTTTTTCATTATGTTTTGCTTTTTAGTGCACAGGTTTATAGCATACTATTATTATTTTTATTAACATTTCCAATTCAATAGTTTTGTATAAAATTTATGTTTATGATTCATTAAAATCATGATTATTTTAGTACTTACATATTTTGAATATTTAATATTTTGAACTATTTAATTGAAGAAATTTGATCTGTAAGTTTACAAATTCTTTTATGTTACATGGGTAGATTACATAAAACTGTTTTTGTTTTCTATTTATCTGTATTCCAAGTGCATTATACGCAAATGTCAATATGTACTATAAAGCAAATTGACCATGTAACTGCTCAGGTTACAATTATTATGTTAGATGTAATTAAATTTAAACATTTAAATTAAATTAATTTACTTTCAGCATTTAGTTATTTTTTCTAATGTAGCTAATATTCTATTGATTGTGCACATTTTTTAAAATATTAATTCTTAAAAGAAATGTGTATTTCAGTATCTTTCAATTTATTTTATTCTATAGTGGGAATATGTATTAGACATAAGCGTTAATAAGTATTATCAATTTATTATACGTTATGTCGTTAGTCAATTTATCAATTTAATTATCAATTTATTATAATTAATGCCCTTATATGGGTAGATTACATAAAACTGTTTTGTTTTCTATTTATCTGTATTCCAAGTGCATTATAAGCAAATGTCATATACATTATAAATATTAATTCTTAAAAGAAATTTGTGTATCTTTTAAATTATTTTATTCAATAGTGGAAATATGTATTAGATATAAGTATTAATCAATTTATTCATTAGCTCAACCCGCCCTCGATAAACTAACGTTACGTTATCTCACTATATTAATTGGATTAACACATTATCAAGGATAAGTACTGAGTGTTTAACACTGGTGTCCTTGGATTCAATTATAGGTAAACGGATTAGTTGCCTTTTTTATGAGGTTTTAATTGTTCTTTACCGCCGAAAGTGCGGTATTCTAACGTTAGTTTAAGGAGGGCTAGTTGGCCTAATGATAATTTGTGAATTTAATTTACTTTTAAATATTTGCTTTGGTAGAGCACATCACACAAACACAAAAGACTGTATAATATTGATTATTGATGGGTGATGTTGAATATGTATAACTAATGTAACAAGAAATTTGGTTATTATTATTATTTTTTTTAATTATAATTAAAGACTTCTCCTTGATTATTTTTAAAACTATTTCCAATACATACACTATCTAAAGAGTAACAGCCTAAATTTAACTTTTAAAGTGTTATTGTCAAAATATTAAATTCATTTGTGTGTGTTTAAGTTAGTTTTGTAATATGATTGCTCATATAAGGATGTCATATTATATCATCATGCCCTTATATGGGCAACAAATTATTAATGCAAATATTATTTCTAGATTGATTTGTGTTAATTAAAATATAAATTAATTTTATATCAAATTATATTTTTAAATGATTGTATACATCTATTCTGTCTTCTATTTTAATTTGTTTAAGGATACAGACACCTTTAAGGTTTGCGCACAAAGAAGTTAATTTAAAATTGACTGGTTTAATTATTATTATTATTATGTTAAATCAAAGTTATATTTCAAAAATCAATTAATTAGAAATACTGAATTTAACATACATGTGTGTGCCCTATTTACAAATATATTTTTTTATGCAAATAGAAATTTATTTTGATTAACTTAAAATATAATTTTGTAATTATATTAAAATTATCATTCTATTAATTTAATTGTATCTAAAGGGTTAATAATTGAAATATTTATGTTAATTTTAAAACATTTTGCTAAAAACCCTAAGTGCATCTAATAATTTTTGAATAATATTATCATTATTTTTATTATTATTCCAAAGCCCATTACTAGATAAATATATATTAATAATAAATTATTTATATATCTTAAGTTAAATTTATTTCAAGTTATAGTTTTTTACTGATTTTATACTTTTATTAAGTAACTAAAAATTGTATCTAAAGGGTTGATATTTGAAATATTTTTACATTTCAATATCTAAAATTATGTAGTATTTATGTTCTATAATCTTTTAAAAGTTATTCTTAATATCATCTCTAATGCTACACAATACATAGTGATTAATGTTTGTTTAAAGTTAATTTTAAAACATTACTAGATAAATATATACTAATAATATATTATTTATATATCTTAAGTTAAATTTATTTCAAGTTATAGTTTTTTTAATGATTTTACACTTTTATTAAGTAATTAAAAATTGTATCTAAAGGGTTGATATTTGAAATATTTTTACATTTCAATATATAAAATTATGTAGTATTTATGTTCTGTAATCTTTTTAAAGTTATTCTTAATATTATCTCTAATGCTACACAATACATAGTGATTAACGTTTGTTTAAAGTTAATTTCAAAACATTTTGCTAAAAACCCTAAGTGCGTCTAATAATTTTTGAATTATATTATCATTATTTTTATTATTATTCCAAAGCCCATTACTAGATAATATATATTAATAATAAATTTATTTCAAGTTATAGTTTTTTTTTATTGATTTTATACTTTTATTAGGTTAAAATAAAGTTAAAATTTTAAAGATATTTTACGGTTTTCTAATGTTTTTTAATATATGCAAATACAAATTTAATTTTAATCGATTAATCTAATATATAATTTTGTAATTATCATTATCATTATTATTTTTATTATATTATAAAAAAATTGTTAATAATATATTATTTCTATGTTCTATCCTCTCTGTGATATATGTATTAACATATCAATAATTTATTCTTTCTATTAAAACATTATTATGTTCTAAAAGTTTTAATAATTTGAAACAAAAAAAACTATTTAAAACAATTGATACAATTTTAATATTCATTGCATATTTTAATTTGTAAACAATTTAAATTTTTTGATTAGGTGACACATTAGGTGATGAACTGTTTTTTATGAGTGTTGTATTTATTGTGGCAAGCCAATATGTAATTCAGTATTTAACGATTATATTGATACACTACAATTATTACTTGTTACTCTTTGTATTTAGCAGATTTACCTACCCTATTCATGCCAGAAGACAGCCTTTAATTAAAATATGTATAATTTCATATTATATACAATTTATTGTACTATTATTTATTACATGATTTTAAAACTCAAAGGCATCTAGCATATGCACAATATCAAATATAAATTATAATTATTTTCTTTATTATTGTTACTCTTTGCATTTAGTGGATTCATCTACCCTATTCATGCTAGAAGTCAGCCTTTTAATTATGTATAATTACATGTATACAATTTATTGTACTATTCATTATTTATTAAGTTTTTAAAACATAAAGGCATCTAGCATATGCATGATTTCAAATTGAAACTATTACTATTATCATCATTATTATTGTTACTAATATTACTAATATTTTTATCATTATTCAATAATTTGG